CACAATTTTGAGATCAAACAAATTATGTATAATGCTTTAATCTTAAAACCGTTTTCTTTATTTGCCTTTTATATTCAGTTATAATAAACTCTTGGGAACAATACGGGTGACCCTGAACGACCTAATCAAAGCTGTCAAGGGCTTGGTCGTAATGTCCTCCGCCCTGGAGGAAATGTCAGTCTCGCTCTTCGACAATCAAGTGCCAACTCTGTGGGCTAACCGAGCTTATCCCAGTCTAAAGCCATTGGCGTCCTGGATAGATGACCTTGTTCAGCGAGTAGATTTCATTAAACGCTGGATAGGAGAAGGCATTCCGTCGGTATTCTGGATTAGTGGGTTTTTCTTTCCCCAAGCCTTTCTAACAGGTACTCTACAGAACTATGCTAGAAAGAAACATATCTCCGTGGATACCATTACATTTGATTTTAAGGTGAGATTATTTTCGTCAAAGATTAACTGGGCTAATCCAAATACACATTCTTTTGTGATCGCTTATAACTTCATTCGAATTTAAGGGTAGTGAACCCCAGAAGCCTTCATTGTATTAAGATACCAAAGTACTAGAGCACATATATGGTGGCTAAGAAGATCGTTTAAACACCCACTAAATCAGTAACAGTAACTTCATTGATTGATTCCGCTGTCAGGCATTAGCACTCAAAGGTGGACCTAAATTTTTTCATTTGTCATGGAAAAAAATTCATACAATATCTTTCTTCGTTAGACCAAGGGATATAAAGGTTTTGGGCATTTAAAACTGAAAATCATGTGGAATTTAGGATTGTATATATACTTGATTTTACTTAATTTACTAGTCTTCTCAAGGCTGTGGTCTAAAGTATATTCTCGAAAATGCGAAAATGCTTTAGAACTCAATTATTTAAGCGTAAACATGATAGAAGTCGAGGAGTAGAACATCTAATTAATTTTGAGCTTACTCTAAAATGATTGAGCCTCTGCCAAGTTTGCCAAACTTTTCTCATTGGTATTCTTTTATGACATTTCTAAGCGCAACACAGCTGACTATGTTGTATATAATTTGTTACTCACCCCTACTGGCTTTGGTTATAGGCCTGAACGCTATTGCAAATCCACACTCAAACATCGGTCTTCCAAATTATATTGTCTTTCAAGCCTCATACACTAAGTGCTCTCTTTATACTGTAACCCAATCTGCCAGGTTATGGATGAGAGTACAGCCGAGTTGACTGAACTGCCAACTGATGGCTGCTATATTCGTGGCCTATTTCTGGAGGGCGCAAGATGGGACTACACCAAGCACAGGTTGTCTGAATCTCGACCAAAGGAGCTCTTCACCAACATGCCGGTCATTTGGCTGATTCCATTGGGAAACAGAAAATCTCCAGAAAATCGAATTTACGAGTGTCCTGTTTACAAGACTTTAACCAGAGCGGGTAAGCATAATTCCACATTCCGCATGCCCTGTCTCTGAACCGATTACAAGCTAAGGATATTTATTATCAAACAATGAAATGTGTAAGATCGTCTCGAGGACATATACGAGGATAGATTAGAAGATATTAACAATATACAGTAAAAAAGCTTGGTCACCCCAAGCAGCTTAAAGTGATTTAAAGACTGATAGTTGAGTCTTACAAAAATGAGATAATTAGGTCTTACGAGAAGCCTCGAAAACTATAGAAGTAAGATTGTGTGTGACACATGAGAATATCTTATAGAATTAGTCTGACCTCGCTTTCGCAAATTGGTCGTTTTGTCAGGGCGACATAGTTGGACGCACCTTGTCCGAGGTCCTCTGCTACAGTAGTTACGATAATTTCCATCGTTGAACTATAAACTTGGTACATTCCCAGACGTTCCACCGACATTTCCTTAAAAATTTGCCAGGAACCAATTCTTTAAAAAGGAGATTGTTTTTTACTCGATTTATAATAGTTTACCTTCATTGACTTCATTTGAAGGAAACTGTCAAAGGCATGATAATTTAAATTACTTCAAGCCTTTGATATCTTTAGCACATTGAATTCAACAAAAAATAGATTGGAAGTTTAATCGAAACTATGATGATTCCACAATATATAGAGAGAAACTTATTTTGGAGAAATTTATTGAATTGTCTGTGTTGATTTGACTGTGAAATTGTGTGGTGAATATATACTTTGGCCATCTTCTAAGCTAATCAATGTTAGTAAATAACGGTTTTCAATACATGTCTATAACAGACCAGCAATATCTACAGAAAGAGAAACGAACCTCTTAAATATAGGCTCAATCATGGAGTTGGCATTTTGGTATGCCTCTAGATTGTAATCTTCACTTGCATTCCAGGCTAGGAATAGCATGAAACTTGTGCAAGCCTGCATTCAGCAATGTGACCATCTGTGAATAGTTTTGGATACCAACTTTTGCATGGTGTGCTGAAATACACACACACACACACACACAGACCAGATTTTCATGCTTATTAGCCAATACCATATCCAGCACCATGGCTACACTCGAGAGCTTTAACTTCAGCCATGGTACCCAGAAAGTCAGTAATGGTGTTCCTGGCATAAAAGCAATAGGAAGAAGATACTCTTGAAGATGCAACATCGCCGTTTGTGTCATGAACATTCCCAGAAACTGTGAAAGTAAGTATGAAATTAAAATATTTTATTCAAATACCAAAATAATAGTAGGAATATTGATTGCTTAGTACATTGTATCTCTTCACTCGTACCGAACGGAGCAAGTTCAGTTTTCAAGTTCACTGAGATCATTTTTCTTATTTAATCTAAAATTGACTAATTTTTGTTATACGACTTTAGAATAAGTAAACATAGGTTTTAAGAGAAGTCGCTTTGTTAGTATGAAATGCTTTTTTACATCTAGTCAAGCCATCCAACGAACACTAGAATTCCTCCAATGTAGACTCACTCAAAGGTATCTTCAGAACCAATTTTCTCCATCACAAACTAGCCGCATGATCCTACTTAAAAATCAATTTTATACGAAAATATGAAGAACGAGATGGTGTGGCTTTTGTGTGGTCGCAGTCTCCTTTTGTTGTATAGAAGTGGTATCCCTCCTGTC